AAATCAATAATAACTACACTTGAATAAGTACTGAACGTCAAGATCGCATGGGTGGTGGTACTGTTATATTCATAAACAAAAAACACTCAGATAAAATTGAAAAAATAAAACTATCTACAGACTATTTTTCTAACTTGGAACCTAAACAAGAAATCGAACTAACAATCGCTCGTGTGTACCCAAAACTACTACCCTGAGAATACTCTTCCTGTCTAGTTATATGTGCCTATATCCCGGTTTGGTCTAAAAGTGAGCAGCGCAATGCATCTTATCAACTTGCACAACTCATTGAACCAGTCATAATTCGTTGCACAATGGGCAACAAACCACTAAAATTTCTTGCAGGGGATCTAAATGGCTGCTCTACTTACTTTATTTGTTGTTCTCACCAACTCATTCATCTTATTGCACACCCTACCAGAAAAACATCTATTCTTGACATCATCTTGAGTAAACGCTCCTAAATGCTATGTGTCGTATACCCTTCCTAGTTTTGGTAATTCAGACCACCTTGTCGTAGTTAGTCAACCTCCTCTAAATTTCTATAAATCTACTCGCCCAGTTCCTCACAAGATTGCTTACCGGTCAGGTAGAATTGCTGACACTGTTGCACTGATACGATCTAGCAATATTGAAACCTTAGTTGATTCACCGTATGAAATACAAGTTGCTTGCAACAACTTTTATTATTCTATACTCTCTGCTTAAGACATCGGCCAACCTCTAAAATCAACAACGCTCGTTAACCCTAAGCCTTGGATGACACCACTTATTCAAGGCCTTATAAAGAGCGTCAAAAACTCTTTTTTTCCGGGTACTACAAAGAGTGGAAATCGCTTGCAAATCAAATTAGGAAACTAATTACCAAAAGAAAGAGAATCTATAACAGGCGTTTTACTTCTAGAAAACCAGATTTTTGGCGTGAAATCAGTCTCGCTGTCAAACCACCACCCCTATCTCTGCGACGCTAGCAAACCAATTAAATGATCACTTTCAAAGTGTTTGGATTGGTAATAAACAACCTAACCTCTCATGCTTCATCAACCGAGAGGCAAACCCGCCTATTACCCCAATTTTATTTATAATAACATTCTCAACCAACTCAGCAAACTCAAAGCAGGGTCCTCAGGACCAGATGACCTATTTCCGTTTTTACTCAAATCTGCTCAATTTGAAATTGTCCCATCGCTCTGCATCCTATTCAACCGCCTCATAAGAAAAATTTACTTACCTGACCAATGGAAATCAGTAAACATAACACCGATTCCAAAAATTTCTAACCCGCGCTCGTCTAATGACTATCGTCCGATTGTTATTACACCCACATTGTGTAAAGTTTTTGAACGTATTATCACCAAATTTATTGTCCATCACACCAAGCATTTATAAGTCTCAAACAAACAGTTCGGATTCCTTCCAAGCCGAAGTACAATGGATGCTATTATTCAAATTATAGAGGACTAAAGTCATGCAAAAGATAACAACAAATCAATTTGCAATATTCAATATTCTTTGATTTCGAAAAAGCTTTTGATCTTGTCAGTCATGACAAGCTACTTCTAAAGTTAGTAAACTTACTACCTAGCTGGCTCACCTCCTGGATTGCAGCTTACTTATCTAACCGTCAACAAAGAATTAAAACAAATGATCACACCACTGAATGGAAATGTATTGAAGCCGGTGTACTTCAGGGTAGTGTTCTAGGTCCAATCCTGTTCATTCTATTTATTTCCGACATAACGTCTATCTTCCTCCTGAAACCATCCTCAAAAAATATGCTGATGACATACTGACCTATATAATAAATGATAAAGTTCCTCTAAACCTCCCTCAATCCATTGTTGATGGCGTCGCTCTTTGGTCTATGGTAAACGGAATGAAACTTAATGGCCCTAAATGTAAAATCATAACAATTATTCCTAGGTGCTCCAAAATTCAAGCTTTACAATCCCCTGTACTCAATAATACTGAACTTGAAATAGTCAGCAGCCACAAATACCTTGGAATCATACTCAATGAGAATATTGATTGGTATGAACAGTGGAAAAAAGTTCACAACAATATAAAATCAGTGCCATATCATATCATATGAAGAGTTACTAGACAGGATCTGTATATACTCAAAAAGATCCTTGTAGACTCTTGCCATCCTATAAACTCTAAATTAACTCACACTAACAGCAGAAACCCTAATAGATTCCCGTATGCTCTTAACACCGCAAAAACTACTACTTAATAAAAATCTTTTATTCAAATATATCTCCGTATCCTTCGTGATGACGTCAGTGACCTTTACCTCCTTAGCAATATTTAGAGCTCTTCTGCATTTTCATTGCATAATTGATATGTTTCTTAACCTGCATTCTTAGAAAACTATTAACATTAAAGGACAGATAAAATTGTACAATTCATTATTTGTAATGCTATTCAATTTTAAATAAAGATTTATAAAATAAAAAAATAAAAAATATATGACGCACCCTAAGTATAAATAATATTTTTTGTTTGAATTTATTTATTTTATCAAAGTAACTCACTTGAGCGTAAAATTTTCCATGTATAGAATCTTCTACATAGGCAAAACTGTAAACAATATAAACTAGTAAAGAAGTTGTAAACAACATAACTACAAAATTTTAGACAAAAATAATAAAAATTCAAAAATAAAATTAAATAGTAGATAAAATAATTAGTAATACTGTAAAATGTAATCAAGGGAAAGAACTCAATTTTTTTATTTTGTTTTTAAAAAGACAAAACAATTTGGTTGATCAAATCAAAATTTGGCAAAACAAGTTTATTCAATTGGGGCAAGACAAAATTGATTAAATTTGATTAAATTTAAATTGATTAAATTTTTTTTTTAAGAGTGTATTTGTTGATGGGTTTAAAAAGAACTTTAAAGACTGGGGGAGAAGGAAATAGATTATTTTTCCACATAAAAACAAAACAATAAATTTTCAAAACGTTAATTTCAAATATATTTAAAATTTTCATTTCAATAAAATAAGATCATAATAATAATAGTCGGATATCAAATAATGGGTATCAAATATTGGATATGAGATGGTGATATCAAATAATATAAAAAAGAAAAGAAAATTTAGAAAAATGAGTTCAAAAACATTGCTCATACATTTTGCTCAAAATTCAGTAGATTTTTAGCAGAGTAGGGAAAAGGCGCCTATGATGGCATAGCGCCAATGATGGCATACCGGTCTTATTTTCATAAATATTGGTTATGGCGAAAAAGTGATTAGAACAACATGTTTATACTGACTTTACATTAGTTTTTCTAAAAATACGTTCCTTATGCACAAATATTGCTTTTTTAATCAAGAAAGATTGATTTTGGGATGTGCTGTTGTATTTTTAATCCCTTTAAATATTTAAGATGATTAAGTGATTTTTTTATTAAAATGTGCAGAAATGAAATTTTAATACATTTTATTTCCAAGTTTTGTGAATTTATTGAAATACTAATTTTAATTTTAGTTTAAATTAGTTTTAGTGAAGTAAAAAGGATTTTTTACTTTACTAAAAATATTTGGCTAAAAAAAACATAACGCAAAATCTCTTATGGGAATGCGCAAAATTCTACATTGCTGCTGTGTAGCACAAAAGGGTTAATTAGAATGATTACGCGTATTTTGGCATTTCTGAGGGACTCTAAGGTCAAATGAAATCGTCAAGTTACCCTTGGTGCTAACCAGCCTTATCCTCCCTTATGCCATCATAGGAGTAGTAGTTGCCTACAATGGCATACTTGTACTTTTTTTAAAGAAAATAAAAATAATCAATAAAAAAATAAAGTTAATAAAAACTGCTCGAGTTATTATTGTTCCACATGTGAATGTATACATATCAAAACTTTTGATATGTATACATGTATATATACGTTCTTGGTCTTCAGTATACTGAATAATGAAGCTTTAAAGTTAAGGATGCCATCATAGGCGCCTCTCCCTTACAACCCTGTTTAAAACCACCCACTCATAAATGGTAGGTTTTTTAGTAAAAACTTCTTTTTTCTGGCTTCTGTAATTACAACGAGTTTTCAATTGTTAACTTTAAAAAAAATATCTTTAACTTTACAGAATAGAACATAAAATTTACACTACTTCTTGTATTTATTTATGTATTAAAATGGTCAAATGGCGCTCCAGTTTCTTTTGGCATTAGGACAAATACCCGGTATGCCGTTACTCGTTTGACAAACCGGATCTTGCTTTTAGTAAGCACTGATTAAAAGGTTTGATATGAGAGTTATCTTCAAACTAAAATTAGGCGATAACTGAATTTTTTTTTTTGTTAATTTAAATTCTTGTTTAGAAACAAAATCTTTAAACACTTGAAATCTTTACTTTGAGCTCTTCAATCTTTAAAATCTCTGTTTCAATAATGTAACAATTTAACTTTTTACTATTCGAGTGACGCAACAATTGAGCTACGTCATTATTTTTTGTTAACAGTTTAGATTACCGAATTAGACAACTAATTTTGATAAGTTACTTTAAAGTAAGTTAAAAAAAAAACTGAATCTGTTTAAATAATGAGTTTATTGTTTAATTTTGTAAGAATATTATCTGAGGACAAAACATAGCTATTTTTTCGCAATTACATTTTTTTGTTTTGGATACTTAAACCGTTTTTCAAAAACGTTTCAAAAATTACGATTTGACATAAAAATAAATTTCTTTCAAAATGTTAGTACAATTATTTATTAAACTATTTTTTGAAAGGATTTTTAAAATAGTTTATGATAAAACATTTCTTAATAACGAGAAAAATTCAAAACAACTATTAGTAGCTTCCAAGCACTATTCAAACCAAAACGTTTCACAAATAACAGAGTTACACTGCTAGCGCAGTAAGCTTCCCATTCATAGCTCGTTAGAAGAGTAAACTTTAGCTCAGTATGAAGCAGGTTACATCCATTCAACTTGTTCAATTAATTGTTTTAAATGTTTCGATTGCTTTAATTATTTACCAATTTAAAATGTTTTACGGAGAGTAATCACATTATTGATGTGTAACTTCATACGTTCGTTATTCAGAAAAGGTTGTGAAGAAATGAGGTAAACAGTTGCTTTATAACTTTTAACTATTTTCTAAGTGGGACAAAATTTTCTTTTCAAAAATGTTGTTCAGCATTTTTTTTTTTTTTTTTGATAATTACTTTTAATATACATTTCAAAATCAACATAGTAAAACTAGTTGACGTGATAAAAAAGTAATTCAAAATTGCTCGCGCGTTACTTGCATTACCGCGTATATATTAATTTCCGGGAAGAAACTTATTTTTATTTTTGAATAGTAATAGTGCGTCGGTGTCTCACTTATCACATCAAAGATCAGAATTCGAGCAACAAAAGAATCTTGAAGCTAACTCGAGAATACCTAAATGTGCCCGATGCAGAAACCATGGAGTAGATTACGAGCTTAAGGGTAAATTATACTTTAATGTTACAGTTTAAAATAGATAGATAAAGTGTAAAAAAGATAGATTCAATATTTTCAGTTTTTGAAATTATTACTATAAAATTACTAAACCTTAAAATTATTGGGCATATTTTATAAATGTAAAAAAATGAAAAAATAACTAACTAATTTACTACTAATTTATTCGCTTCAAAATCATTAAAAAAAAATTATTTTCGGTATTTAATCTTAATTTTTTTTAAATTAATTTTTTCTAAATTTCAAAGACATCAAAATGTTTTGTTTGTTATTATCAAAACACTTTTGTTTGTTATTATCAAAGTGATTAATTCTGGCATGGCGATATCATTACGACATGTTAATAGCTACAAAGTGCAATATATTAACGACATATTATCTATGTAACAATTATATTTCTCCACCTATTTCAAATCAGGTGATGAGACACTTTGAACAACAAACATAACACTTTATAATGTTTTGAACAAGAAACTTAATACAGTTCATTTAAGAATTAAAAGAAGTTACTTAATATCAAGTAACGCTAGAACTCGACATGTTGGAATCGGAATTAAAAATTTCAATAATTACAATACCAATATTGTTGCCAACATCACCTACCTTTTTGTCTTTTTTAAATTAAAAATAAAAAAAAAGTTCTAAATACTTGTATTATATATTGTTACTAGTATGATATATTGTATATCGTAAGAATAGTTTTCTTACAAAACTCAAATTTTTTTTGTAAAATATCCTTACTTGACACCAAAGGATACTTATTAAAAATATACAAAAAAAGATTTGTTAAAAATGTGTTAAAATGCTATATTATATATATAGCATTTTTATATATGCTATATATAATATGACATATATAAAATTGCTATATTATATATATATAGCATGTGTTATATATATATAACTGCTTTACCTGTTTTTGTTGATAGAAGATGTTACATATATATAACATCTTCTATCAACAAAAACAGGTAAAGCAGTTACTCCACAAAATATGATAAATATAATGTATCGTTATAATCTACAAGATGGTTTTCCAAATGTTTGTATCGCACTACGTATTATACTTAACATTTATTGTAAGTAACTGCAGTAGACAACATTGGACCAGGAAGGACGAGTTTAACCATTTTGAACATTGATCAGAAATCTTCACAAGAATTTCAAGACATCATTGATTCCTTCTCTACTCTAAAAGCACGACAGAAAAATTTTTTCAACTATATTGAAGTAGCACCCTAAATAAATTTAACAACAATAAAATAAAATGAAAATGAACTTCAAACTAACAAAGTTTTGTTTTATTTTCATTTCCATAAAAATGTACTTTGATGTGTTTTTTTTATATATAAATAATAGTCTGTTACTATTTCTTACGTCGGTTAAAGGGCCTACTTTAGTTTTATTCTGCTACTTTGCGCTAAACTTACAAAATATAAATCCAGCACAGTTGTGCAGGACTTGGTGGTGAGGTTTATACAGTTTTTGAGTAATTTCTCAATCAAATTTTATAATATGTATACTTTATGTTATTGAAAAAAATTGTTATGGTACAAAAATATTTACATTTCATTAATATATGTATTCATAAATATTTTGGGATATTTAATCAACATTTTTTTGAACATTTAGGTCATAAAGAAAAATGCAAGTTTAAAGATTGCGTCTGTCGGTCCTGTTTAGTTGTGTTAGAGAGACAAAAAGTGACTGCTGCTAGAGTTGCCCACCTGCGTCACCAAAGAAAGGTGGCAGAAAGAAAAGGATTATCAAATTATCACGATTTCAATGCTCTAACAGAAGAAGAAGAGTATGTACTTAGTCAAAATTATGATACAAGAAATGAAGAAAAGCGAACTTACGTGCGCGAGAAAAAGCAATACAATCACGATAGTTACGACCAAATAAGCATAATTGAAAAACAAAAAAAATACGAAGGTAAAAGCAACTCGCTCAGATTGAACTTGTAAAATTTTTATTTTCGTTATAATTATTTTGAAATTATTGACTTATTTTCCTGTAATCTAATATGGAGTCAACTGATTTTTATGTTAGTTTTTGTAGTTTCTTAGGTCTTAAAAAAGCAACTTAATTTAAGAATTAATTCAAAAAATTAAAATGGTATCAGTATAAATTAATGATTTGTATTATACAGCAATTTATTCTTTATAGTAATATACAGAGGCGATTTTACAGGTGTGTGTGTGTGACGGTCAGGGGGCGATAACTTGAAAATCACCTTAAAAAGAAGGTGATTTTCAAGTTATAGTTAATTTTTCGAAGAATATAGTTGGCTTGTCGGGTATATGATACATTTCAGTTGGGTGAATTTTAGGTTTAAGGACTTTTTTTTATATAGGAACCACTTTTAAAGGATTCATCCCCCCCCCCTCATTTTAATTGGAGAATCGCCTCTGGCCTTGGTAATATATAACTTTTGAATTAAATTTAAGACAATACTTATATATAATATTTTTTCTTTTAGATCAAAACTCAAAAAGAGATACGGAGGATACCCCAAGTAGAGACTTTGAAAAAAGTTCAGGTCGGGAAACAGAGGGAAACTCAAACAAAGACTTTGAAGAAAGATTTTATCGGCCTGAAGAAACAACGAGATCTTTATCGTCTTTACATTCTTCTAGTAATACAGTGAACTTATTTAGAAAAGCGCACAATGCATATTCTAGTTTCTACGAAAGAAAACACAACCATTATAGAGAACATTCTCCTTATTATGATTATAGACACAGAGATTATTCTCGTCCAATCTCACCAAATGTTTGCAATGAAAAAACGCAAAGTACCAATAGAAAATATTTTGAACATTACAAAGATAAGCCTACAACGGAACCATATTCATCATATATTGACCTAGATAAAAAATACAATCAATATAACCAATCAACTAATTCTCGTTTAAATATTCCATCAACACTAATTAATCAAATTTTATATTCTGACATTAAGGTTCGGCCACGACAATACGAGAGTAAAAGTTTAAGAGTGCTATACGTTATGTTTCCTGAGATCGATGAAGATACTATCAGAGAAGTACTTCGTAAGTGCGAATACGATATTCAAAACGCAGTTGATCATCTTCTTAGAAATCATCGAATTCAAGCAACCTCCAACGAGTTTCAACATAGTTTGTCTAAAAACAATAACGCATTTAACAAGTATTTTTCGACTCCCCGTCCAGAAGTAAAAGAGGTGCGAAATCAGTTACTAGATAAATAAAATGAATTTTATGTAGTATAAAAATGTATTTAAAGATAATTTTAAATTTTTTTATAAAAAGCATTTTAAAAATCAAATCTAAACATTTTATAGCCCAAAGTTTTTACTGTGGCTTTTTTAATTAGGGTAGCACTATTTTTCTTTATCAAAATAACAACATTGGTCATTGACCAAAAGTTCTTCAGTGGTTAAATTTACTACATTTAAAAATCTACTTGTTTTACATAATAAAAACATTTGTTTACATTTGCACTGCTAAAAAAAAAGTTTAAACAAGCAGTGCAAACTTTAGTTAACTCATTTTTATGTCAACTTTAAACTTTTTTATTTTATTATTTACCGAAGCTCTTACAAGTGTAGTGTTTTTAAAGTATTACCAAAAATGGTCTGAAAGCGTTGATTTTTTTTTTCAGTGTTTCTTACCAGTGTAACCAAATAACAAGTTTAACCAAAATATTAGCATTTTTAATTAAAAAACATTAAATAACAAAAACTATGAATTTATAAACTCTTTTTAGATTAACCACAAGTTGAAGCTACAGCGCATGTGCCTCGGAATTATCTTAAAAAATTCGACTAACTTACAGTTATTTGTACATATCTTATTAAACAATGAAATTAAAACTACCTAACATTTTTAATAACATTTAATGAAGTCATTCTTTTTCTGAAATTAAAACTACCTAACATTTTTAATAACATTTAATGAAGTCATTCTTTAATGTTTGTAAGATTGTTTCAATTTGCATGTTATTAAAATTTCTTAATAAAAGATGATTTCGATGATTGCATTTATGTTAAAATAATATATTAAATAACAAAAATGCTAGTGTGTAATGTAAATATTTCTGAAATTATTTATGAAAGACTTAAAAAGAAATATGCAAACATAACAATATATGCAAGTCTGAATTAAAGTGCCCCCCCCCCTCAAAAAATAATTTTTTGATTACTTTGTGGATCACTTTCCTGGCCTCACGTTAACCGGTGGGATCCGGAATTTGCTCTTAAACAAATTCATTCTTAAAAAAAAAGTATTTTGGAAACAGCGTAGATTTATCAATCAAGGATCAACTTTACAATAGCAATGTTACTCTGAAAAGAAATATCTGATAAAAAAGTAGATTATTTTAGAAGATTGTGAAGAGGTATTCACTATATCACTTTATCACTAAACATCAAAACAAAAAAAAACCTTTTTTAATTTGGAATAAATAAAAAAAAGCTTAATATTAACCTTTGCTCACATAACATAAAAAGTTTAAAAAAATTATAGGCAAAACCTTTGTTTTAAAATTTTTATAAACAACTGATTAAATCAATAAAATAAAAAAATTATTTAAATGTCTTCTAAACATCTTCTAAACATTCTAACGCAAGAAACGCTCAGAAGACGCTTAAAAAACGTCTCTTGCACTTTTTTCTAAAGGAGGTAACCGATTGCTAATAAATTTTTTTCAAAAATTTATCTTTATTTGACAAAATACAGGAATTATTTTTCTTTTTATTTGATATTGCTGAAATATTTAAAGAGTAGAGTTAAAAAATAAACTTTCAATGCAAAATTACACTAGTCTGGTCAGCATTTTGAAAGTCATCTAAAAACCTTTTTATTAACAAACAATGACAACTATTATTTAAGTATCTTTGGTTTTCAAATAACATTGGTTTGGGATGATAATATCTATTCTTTCTTTGATCCTGGTAAGAAGTAAATATATAATCAAAACGCTATTCATGTTTCTCTGGACAACGTTATTAAAGTTTGCAAAGAGAAACTAAATTATAAATTATATGAAACACTCACCTAGCAGGCTTAAAAGTAATGTCTGATTTATGCATGACATAAGTCATACATTACTTTTTGTAAAATTGTTTGAGTGAGTATAAGACCACTGATCGCACTTTAGTTAAACTTATCTACTTACATAATAATCATAATGCTTTAGATAATAACAGTTTTTTTTTCATTGATCTGTCAATAGCATTAAAAAGATTTTCATAAAGTAAACAAAACAGAAAGCTATCCTCATAAATTACCAAATCTTTTAATCAAAAATTCATAATTTATATTATAAATTACCATAAATTACCAAATCTTTTAATCAATAACATATGAGATAAAGTGGTATATATATTTTTTTAAACTGTGACAAATTATATTGGGCAAGCAACATTTCTATGTGTTAACATTGGAAACTGCATCCATAAACTAATAAGAATTTAAATTAATACTGTCGAAACATATTTTATTTAGTTATCTTTTGGCATAATTGTTACAAGAGTTAAACTGACAAAATTCTTTTATATATAATCCATTTTATATTTTCATGTTGTAAATATTAAAAGTTAGATAATAAACTATTATGTAAAAAACCATTTTAATATTTATTATCCATTATGTAATGTTAACTATTATAAAATGGTTAACATTACATAATGTGAGGCATTATATAATTGTTGATATTTAGTAATTAATATCATTTTGAGAATCAAAATAGAGGAAATATTTAAAATATATTTTAATACCAGCCTACAGTTACCAAGCAACCTACAGTTTGGTTTTGAAAATTAGGAGTATAAAAATTTTTTTTTGTTATTTTTCATAAAATGAGTTTTTATAAAAGCATTGGAAAACTTATGCAGGAACTTGCACATAATGCCTCCATTATGAGAGTCTCAGTTAACTGAGACTCTCATAATGGAGGCATTGAGTGCAAGTTTTCCCAATATATAAAGTAAAGAGTTTATAGGAATGTTTAGTGATGCCAATGAAAGATCATCTAATGCAACAATTTGTTATACTTTATGCAACTTAAGATAAAATAATAGAACTTTGGATTATCTTGATAGTAAATATCAAATATCGAGAAAAAATGTAACTTTGCGACTTTTTCAAATGACTAATAAAAAAAGAAGATCTTAAAGAAGCAATTTTGCAAATATTAAAAAATGGATGAAAGAAAAAAAGAAAAGTTTGAATGAGAGTTGTACTATCTTTTTTAAAAGTTTGGTATTTATTTAAGTTGTCTGTCAAGCAACTTGATAATTTAGATGACACAATGTCAAATAGAATTATTGGATGAAAACTTTACTGATAATGGTATAATACTAAGTACTCTAACTCTAATGTATAGTGGAAGAAAAAACTTAATAAAAGAAAACAAGAATGAAGACCCCTCTTCCATTAAAGAAAACTCAATTTATAGCTTCAAAAGGTCAAAAAACAAATACAAGTTTTGGAAGCTTTTCATTCAGCAACTTTTTTATTTCAAAAAGCTTTTTAGATTTAAAATTTTTAAATCTGGTTGGGGAAGGGAAAAGAAAAGTTTAGGAACACACACCCTTTCCCCACCCCACAAGTCAACATACACTGCGCGACATAATGATAAGACACCCAAAAAATATTTATAAAACTCTATTTTACATTTATATTTAAGGATTAAAAGAATAAACAATATTTAAAAAAATTTATTTTAAACCTAACTCGCATTTTATTAAAAAAATACTGTTTTATTAGCGCGACAAAATTATTACACTTTTGAAAAAAGTTCATATAAATTGTCATTTACAAAAAAAGACATCTCAATTTAAAAAAAATCAATAGTGGGTATTTTCATCATTTTTTTTAAATCACTTCAATCAATCTAGAAGGTAAAGAATCATACAACTGCAAATTCATGACTTCAAATTATCCCAGAAAGATTTCAAGTCTGCTAGTAAACTATATTGTTTACCACCTTCAAACAGTATATGTGACAGCTGTGCCGAAGCATTCTCAATAATGTTCAGGTCTGAAGATCTAGCTGGCCACTTCAATCTTTCAATTTTAGTGCTGTTGAAATATTCCTTTACTATCTTAGCTGTATAAACGCTAAGTATTATCTTGCTGAAAAACAAAATTTTCACCACCTATGTCAGGTGCTTGACGTCTTAAAAATTCTTGAACAATTAAAAGATAATCCTTAGCCTTCATTTTTTCATCAATAAAATGAATTTTTGATTTATCATGATACCCAATTGCACACCAAATCATTACACCACTACCACTCATTTGATGTTGTTGCTGTGTTAATGGTTCTTTACTCAAATTGTGAAAATAATAACTCCACCTATCCGGCCCATCTAGACAAAATTGTTTTTGGTCAAAATAGTACTACTTTTTGCCACTCTTCTTTCCGTGTAACGTGGTCATTTGCAAAAGTTGTTATGGTGTATGTGATTTGCTGTCAAAGGTGATTTTCGCTTAAGCTTTTTGCGCGAAAGGTGGAAAGCATTATGAATAACTCACTGAACTGTCCGTAAATAAGCAATCACACCTGCATCTGCAGCAATTTGACGTGCAGTTAATGAAAAATTTGAAGCTCAACAACCTTCGCCTATCACGGCCACTTAATGTCGATGGACGTCCGGGCCTTTTTTTATTTCATACATATTAGGACTATAAACGTAGTTTTTAATCTCATTTCGACTGCGTCTAATAGCTCTAGCCATGTAACTAAAGGAGTGACCCATTTTCGATAAGTTAGAGAGCAATTTTTTCTCATCTGGACGTAATGGTGCAGCATGCCCCATTATTAGTTAAATTGTTATTTTATACTTAATCAAAAAAAATCTAAACTAAATTTTTGACAGTTCACAAAGGTTTACAGTTATATAATCGTCTGTGGTGATTACATCAAATAAGTTTTCTTAATTGCTCACAATTGCGGTTTTCTTAATTGCTCACAATTGCGGTTTTCTTAATTGCTCACAATTGCGGTTTTCTTAATTACTCACAATTGGGGTTTTCTTAATTGCTCACAATTGCGCAAATAAAAAGTTTTTTGTTAAATTGTCTATTAATTTTGTCGCACTGAAAAAAAGGGTTTTTTTTTTAATAAAATGAGAGTTAGGTTAAAAATAAATTTGTTAAAATGTTGTTTAGTGTTATAAACCCTTTGCTTTCATTTACAATAAAAGTTAGTTTTTAAATATAAATGCATAAATGCAGAAAAGTTTTATAAATCTTTTAGGGGTTTCTTATCATTATTTATTTTGATTTATTATTTATTTGTCATTAAAAAAAAGAATACAATGCCGTGTCATGAAAAAAAGAATATAATGCCGGTCATGTAGATTTTATTATATAAATAAAATCTATATGACCGGGGCTAAAAGAAGACAATATTTGTCTTATTACTACACCCCGACGTCCTTCCATCAGCAAGTGTGTATAACCATTAAAATGTAAACATAAAACATAAAATTACTTTGTACCATTTAAAAATTATATACAAATCAGTTACTAATCTATAATCAAAAAAAATTACGTAAAAAAAAAAGCAATCACACCTAAAAACTAAAAATAAGTTAACAGGATAATTTAAAGAAAATTTAAATTTGGTTAGACTAGTTAATAAGATAGTTGTTAAAAAAAAAGATAAAAGAATCTTAAAAAGAATTTAATTCATTAACATCGTTAAGAAGTTTTTGTTTGAGTTTTTGTTTAAATAGAGAAAGTGAAGAACAATTTTTCAGCTGGTTATTTAAGTAAGTGTTACATAATTTAGAACCATTGTGTCGCGCAGTGTATACACCAATACTACATGTAAATTTTTGATTGTATGTATTTTAAACCTTATAATTACTTTACTTGTTTTATTATATTAAATAAATATATCTAAATTTATTTAAAAGGAGTAAACATTTTTGATAATAGGATGTGTTAAACCATAACCACCACATCCTCCTCCATTTCCAAAATACGCAATTCATATTTGTTTGTGATTTTAATTTGATAACAAAGACACGTCCTCCCATAAATCGATCTATAATACAATAAGACATGTAAAATCTTGTAAAACATTTTTATAGTAATTTCTATACAAATTGCACTCACTTTTAAAAAGAACGGATTAAATATTTTTGATTCTAGGATGTGTTAAACTATCACCACTACATCACCTCCTGTAACTTTAAGATACAATTATTATATTTGTTTGTGGTCTGGAATCAACCTTTGGTAACTTAAAAGTTGACAAAGTTTTAACATTTTAGATAAATAAAAACTAAATTTTGACCATAGTCTTTTCAACAATTCCGTATAGGGGAGGTCAGGGGAATAGTGGCCCCTTAAGGTTTTGCCATTTTTTGGGTTGTATTATACTGGTCCGAGCTGTAACTATATTAGAAGAATTACTACAATGTATATTATAAAATACTTTATTGGCAAACACGTACAAAAAATAATTAACGTGTTATTACAAGAAAAAAATTAAACAAAATGGCCAGTATTACCCCATAATTTTAGGGCAATTGTGGCAGCCTGGTCAGCATTACCCCACTTCTTTTGTCGAATACAAATAATGAAAACAAGAATAATAATTATTAAAAATAAGTTTTACTCTTTTTGCTGATGACTCAACTTTATACTCCTAACTTGACAAAAAGTCTTCTCTTTTCAATTGCTTAACAGGCAGCTGATCTTGAATCCAATCTCACTAACTCAGTTATTTATTGCAAACAACTATCGCAGTACTTTTGACATTCCTATATTAATGAATGGCAACCCTCTTAATAATTTCTCTTCTTTACGGCTTCTTTGAATATTGCCTACTACTGATCTTTCATGGAAACCATATATACAAGCGATTTTTGAATTAAGTTTAAGAGAATAAATTTATGAGTTTAAGAATTAATAAAAATAAGTAGTACAATATTACTATTAAATAAAATAGTCACAAATATAAATATCGTTTTTATGGAGGAGATCTATACAGTCTTTGTGGGCCCAATCACCACATGCAGTACAGGTTACCCACCATTTTTGGTTTTTACCGAATTTCCCACAAACTAAAAAAATATCTGATGACTTTTCTACTTTCTAGCCATTTTATACGGCCATGATTGCCCCGTATAAAATTGCTATTATGACCTCAAATTAAATCAATTTTTATTAACAAAAATAAAAACATATTTACAAATAAGAAGGTTTTTAACGTTTATAACATTTATATACTTAACAGCACAATAATTATTTTTCTTTCTAATACGTAAATGACAGTTAACAACGTTAGACAATTAGCGTCACTTATGTAGGAAGAACCAAGAACTAGGACTAATTATTAGTTCTTCTAATAGAACATAGGTACCAGTACAGATAAAAAATTTCACTTTAATTACACAAATATAAAAATATCATATATCCATAATTACCCCAGAGGCCATCAATCCCCCGACTCCCCTATCAAAAATTTGGTATTTAAAACCTCATAACTTTTTGTAGAGTTGTTCAATTTTTGATAATGTTTTAACTATAATGTATTAAAACCAATGATGTATCATTGGTTTTAATACATTATAGTAAAAACATTAACCAGCTATGTAGTATTATTTATAATTTTTAATCCACATACCTACCTATATCAATCTGTCTGATCTAAAAATAACAACTCTAGAGTTTCATAAACACACTTAGGTATATGTAATATGCGTTTTCCAAATACAAATACAAATATTTGTATTTTAAGTTAAGAAAAAAAAAACAACAACTTAAACCTATTTTTTATTCTTCTTTCATTAATGAAGCTGCAAAACTAGTGCACAATCAAGGCCAGTATAGTATGAGATTTTTACACCCACGTTTTTTTTTACTCCCTAGTAAAAATCTCATATTAAAATTTTACTCCCATCAAGAGATTTTTACTCCCATAGATATTTTGCGGCAAAATGTGTTTTACAACTTTGTTGTACTTTAATAATATTTTTTGCCGTTTTAAAGATTGTGGCTTTTTAAAAAGCACTAAAGAAGCGATTCATTTTAATATGAATATTTATATATTTTTAATATGAACATTTTAATATGAACATTTATATATTTTTAATATGAACATTTTAATATGAACATTTACTTTAAATTTTTGTAGAGATTAAATCAATTAACAAAATGTTAGGCGTTATTAATAAACAAAATGTCGCCCATTGACGCTTTAACTTAATTCTCTGTTTGAAACTCCATAGAACAAATATATATAAACATATATAAAAAACTATATAAACTGCAGACCAGTCTTTTTGATCTTACTGACAATCAAAGTGAACATAAGTCAGTTTTGCTAAAATTTTCAAACTGTATGCGCAACGAGGTACACCAGGATGTTATCAGGTATTTAAACATTGTATAAAGATTTATATATTAAGATGCAGGATAATTTGTAATAACAAATTGCTTAAAGATGCGATTTAGGATACCGACGAGGATAAAATAAAATATAATAAAATAGGATACCGACGAGGTAAAATAAATTATAATAAAATACTCACCAATTAAATTAAAATCAGCTAAAAAGACACGGCTCTTGCAGTTGTTAGCATAAGATGCTAATAACCAGCCGGTGTGTTTTCCACAAATTATTGGATCAGGCTTCTTGGAACATTCTCTTCCATCAAAATTTTAAACGGCTGTCTCTTTTCTTTCAAATTCCAAAACCGGAACGTTTCTTTCAATATTGGCTTGCATGTCTTCGATTTGTTGCATGAATTTAATTTGGCGTGTTATTGTTTTTATATTGATTAACAGTTTTGCTCAATAAAAATTCTGCGTGATGTGTAGAGCTGTTTTTTTTAACCAAATTGATGGGAATTGCTATCTGTTATATTAGGACATATAAGTAGAATTAGATATTATAGAAGTTTAGTAAAGATAGATAAAATACTAATTCCTTGGTAATTATCTGGTTTATTAAAAAAAATTTTATATGACTTAACAAGTGGAATAATTGTTAAAGTTGATAGATTGTTTGGTACCTTTCCATTTGTTAGAATACTGTTATAGAATTTAGCGAGCCACAAAAAAAGATTGTTATATTGAGAGTTTTTAAGGTGTTCAGCAGTTACCCCACAATTATCTAGGGACTTATTACTAATTAGTTGTGAGATTCAATTTATAATATCAGCTGATGTAATAACTAATGATTTAGGCTTGTTACTTAGAGGTGGAATTTGAGGAGGATTATGGTTATTATTTGTAATAAGAGGTGTATTGAGTAGAGTTTGAAAATGAGTTCTAAATTCTAACGTTATCTTTTATGTTTTGCAATTTAATAATTGTAAATAACTGAATTGTTGCTTTAGTTTTGAATTTAAGAATGTTATTCCAGAGCTTCAGAGGATTTGTAGTTTTAAGACTTTCAATATTTATTTTATGGATTTTTTTGTTATGAGCTGCTTTAACCGCTTCACGGAAGTTTTTACGTGCAATCATGTATCTTTTGTGTTTAACGCATTCTTGTGTTTTATTATAATAAGATTTTTGCCATTGTTTAGAGTTAAAAGAAAGATTTTCTTTGTATTTTTTAAGGTTCGTTGTCCACCACGAACTGGAATATTTACATATTTCGTGTTTAAAACACTACTTAACTGCTCATAGTGCAGTTTTTTTTTTTTGATTTTTTCGAATGTTTTAATTCTTGTTTAACTTTTTCTTCATTGAAGATGTAGTTATTGAAAGCTATGGAGAGGTTATAATTATACAAGTTAATGAAATTTTTGTTATTCCATGCATATTTTGATATGTGAATATATTTATGCATTATGCTATTTATTACGGTTTATTTATTTATTTAATTGCGGTGAGCAAATGCTCACTGAGTGGTAATCAACTTTAGCAGCAACTTTAAAAACTACAATTTGAAACTTTAATTCACATAATAAAGTTCATCAAGACTTTTTTTAAAGTTAACACTGACTTATTAAGTTGGACATCAAACGGCAAATTGTTCCAAATTGGAATAACACGATTGGAAAAAAAAATTCTTCTACTCGAGTGTCTACAAATCTCATAAGTATACCTATGATTGTGGATATAGTCACTTTCAGCTGGTCTAGTTGATTAACAAAAGTTCTTTAGGGAAGATACTCTATTTAGCTGATAAGAATTATTAGGACATTTATAAAAGTTAATTAAATCGCTTCTTTCTCTTCTCACAGATAAGGTTTTTAAATTAAGTCTTTTTTTAAAAATGGATTCAAAATAGAAGACGCATATTCAAGATGAGGGCGTACTAGCAAAACATATAACAATTTAAGTATATCAGAATTTAAAAATGAAAATGTGTGTCGGATAAAACTTAAAATTCTTCTTGCTTTAGAAACTCACCCATATATATTATGACCATATTTCAGATCGCTTTTAAACATGATGCGAAGATCATTTACACAATCCACAGTACTCAATTGATAATCAAAAATGTAATATTTATTGATATTTTTATTTAATTTATTACTTTTATTGACATGCATTACTTTACATTTTTTTATATTTAGTTGCATATGCCATTCATTCCACCAATTAAAAGTTGAATTTATGTCATCCTGTAGATCATTATTACTGTTATCACGGATTTTGTGGAAAACTTTGCAATCATCAGCATAGAGCTTGCATTTATTTTTTAGTTAGGTTGATTGATTAATATGTGTAATGACGATACTTGTAGCGATTAGTAAGTGGTTACTAAAATTAAAAAGCGAAGGAGCAATAACTTTGGTGTTTATAAAAGATGACTCTTTTAGAGCTGCGATGTGATCGATATACTATGAGTTAGAGAGAGTTTATGTCAATAAGTGTATGTCAGACGAGCACCTCTGATTATATCAATTAAAAAGGGCTTATTTGATTTAATGAAATTTTTTTTTTTTTTTTTTTTTTTATTTTTTTTTTTAAGTTGATTAAGGTGCCCCAAGAAGTCCTTTCGGTCTTATCACAGAACACCGCGGAAGAGCATTTAATAGGAAGTTCACGCCTCCTTCCCAACCGATGTTGCAAAACTTGCCCAGAGGTGGGGTTTGAACCACGGATCATACGATTCTGAGGCAAGTGCGCTACCACTGCGCCACGGCTGCTTTAAATTTGTTAGATGATTAGAAAATTTTGTGTGTGTTTTACTATTACAATTCTCAGAACTGTAAACTGTTTTGGGATGTGATTGAAAATCAGCAATAATACATTCACTTACATTCTCCTATTTTTTTATGACTGACGTAATTACATCATGTTGAAATAACGAGTTATTTCGACATGATGTAAGATAAATACAAATAAAGACTAGATTTTGACACTTTTGTTTACCTTTAATAGCAAGAATATTATCACCTTTATAAATTATGTGAGGAGACAATAGAACATATTTTTTAACAATAAACGCGTTTCCTCCAAATGGTCTTCTGTATGCTTTTTTTTTTTGCAGCATGAAAAAATACTTTATGTGTCGGCAATCCTATGTTTTTTAGCAAAAAAAATTCAATATAAAAAATGCCAATGATCCGATAGGAAGATAATATCAAATGATTTGACAAGTTTGGAAATATAAATTGAGTTCGATTTAAAACTTTGGCAGTTATATGCACAAAAAGAAATATTTTCGATAGTTTTACTTACTTTGTTTCTTTCCATTTTGAATTAAAACTTGGTATACGATTTGAGTAAGAATGTTGCCGTGTAAAAGAAGTTTGTTCTTGAAATGTAGAAAATACTTTTTGAGGTGATTGTACAAAGTGTAGCCTAGTAACTGCACTCTGCTGTGGTGTTTCGCTTTTTGAGGTATCACAATAAAGCCTGAGTGGTTTAATGATAATATTATTGTCCCAAACATCAGGGTTTAGGGTTATGTCTTTTTCAGTACCTTTTTTTCTTCATTTTTAATGAATGATTGCATTTATTTTCACGATTAAGTTCTACATTATTTGGTTCAATACCTATTTCATTTTTGAGGTGATTAGACCGATCTTCTTCCGATATTGAGTTACAGATCCCTTCTACAAAGATATAAAATTCCGTACGTTCGCCTGCAATAGAGTTTCTGTTGAATGCAACTTTATTTCCAAAAATGGGCTTTATTCTAGGCTTTTCTGTTGGGGCTTTATTTGCTATACTGTTTTTTTTTTATTAATAAAAAGAAACAATCTTTTTTTTTCCGATCCTATCTTTTTTCAATAATTGGTGGTTGCATTTGAACCTTTTTAACATAGGTGACTCTATTTTGGTTTTCGTTTTCGTTTGTTTTTAAACTAGGCTCCTTAAAGTGAAACGTCAAGGTGCATCATTTAAAGTATTTTTAGTATTTGAGGAATGATTTTTTATTGAACCATTAACAAAAGATTTTTCAGTATTAAGCGGTTTTTGAATTGACAAAATACTGCAGCTATTAGAAAGCAACGCATTTCGATTATTTGCGCGTTTGTCGTAATTCATCATACTTTCCTTATAATAAATGTAGGTCGTCTCTGATTTTCTCGTTTTTTGATTTAATTGTTTTAACGCAATCGACGAGCTGTTTTAAAATCGACAACAGATTTACATCTGGTAATTGGTATAATTGTAAATGCACTAGATTATCAACTGTTAATCACAGTATCAAAGTGGATTCCAGTTGAGTTGTGTAGAAATATAGAATAATCACTGAAGATACTAGGCCGTAAACTGCATGGGTAGGTCATTCATTTTTTTTTCGCTCTATATTTGCTGTATACTTGGATATGTACCTCCATAAATGAAGCACTTCCAATTACCTCCGCATCAGTTGCTCATGTCGCATCTTCAAGCATTTCAGTTTTATAAATATGCATTCGAGTTGACATGTTTAAATATCCCGTTATTTCATCCAATATTTTGTAACCCATATGGTAAACAACTTTGTTTCTAATTGGCTTATCTTCATCTTTATTTCCAGTTAAGATAAAAAACTGTTCTAAAAAAGCGGTTTCTATTCCCTTTAAATCTATGGATTCCCCTAGGACAGAGAATTAGGTTGATGTTTTTTACGGCGACATTGTGTTTTCTTAACAATTCTAAACTTTTCTGCAATTGATTTTCTCATACGAAAAGTTGTACATTTGCTATTCCAAAAGTTGTAAATTTGCTATACCAAAAGTTGTAAATTTGCTATACCAAAAGTTGTACAATTGCTATTCTTTCAATTAAAATATTTACACTGCTTTCATCATACATGATACATGATTATGATCATTATGTACATCTTTATGTACATGACGATCATAGCCATGTGCGCTTTTTCGTATGTGTTGCTTGATTTTTATGGGAGTAAAAATCTCATAATGGGAGTAAAAATTTAATATTATATTTATACTGGGGAGTAAAAATTTAATATAAGATTTTTACTGGGAAGTAAAAAAAACGTGGGAGTAAAAATCTCATACTACACCGGCGTGAATAAGCGATACGATCCCTTCACCCCCCCCCCATCCCATCAATGAAATTTTTGTTCATTTAGTCGGCAAATGCAGACCTTTTAGACAAGTCAGTCGCCAAATTTAGACAGTCAGTCGGCTAATGTAAACAGGTTAGTTGACAAGTTTCAAAAAACGAGGACCTTTTTTTATTTTATTTTAGTCGCCAAAAAATGAAATGGCAAACATTACACCTACCCTACTCGCGCCGGCCCTGTGCACAATCTTAATTTTAATCTAGTTAGAATAAAATCAAGATTTCCTGTACAATAAAAATACAAAATTAAGATAATATTAAAGATCTACACGCTGACCAAATTTGTTTAATGAAACATTGAAAGCAGAAAAACTCTAATGGTTAAATGAGTTGAAATTGAGTCTTGCCAATTCTGAACAGCTGATAAAAACTGATGATGGCAGACAATTTTTGAATTTACAACAACAATCAAGTAAAAGATTGATGGATTTGTGGAAAAGAGAATTAGAGGTCAAAAAAGTTTATGCTGGAGGTTGATGATGCAGCAAAAGTACTGTACTGCTACATCATCAACGTCCATAAGCCGTACTGAAAGACAGTAGTATTAGAAAGTCTTACATCAGCAATTAATGAATTAGGTGTTTCAATATCCAAAACAGTATTTTCTAAGGCTACGATGAATCAACAATGTGAGTGTTATCTTCAAGAAGTGGCAGTTCTTTTAAAAGAAGAATATATTCTCTCAAATTTTATTTTTAATTGGGAAAGTAAGGTGTTGCCTGATATTACTGGCAAGGTTTTTAACAACTTATTTTAACTATCAATCCTGCTCTCATCACTTTTGAAGTTCCAAAGTTAGCCTCTGGATCAGGATAAACATGTTGATGAAGTCTACAAACATATAAAGTCTTGAAAGTGTTTGGAATGCTGCTTTTTCATTGTATTCAATATCTGTCTTGGATAATCTAGTTTTTATATTTAAAAGATTCCATGAAAAATGGATAGAAATGAACCAGACATCAGAAAACAGATCAACCCCTTTAATAATAATTTCAAATGCAGTTAAAGCATTTATTTAATATCAACTTAAGCCATTCGTGAGATGACAATTTATAGATTCTTCATTTTGTTGCATAAATAGTTTGGCTGCCGATTGATGTCATCATTTCGCGACGTTAGAATTATCTTGTTCTATCTCCACATTTTTTAGTTTTGAGATAAAACGATTTAAAAAATAAAAACTTTAGGAGACGGCGTATAAATTTTTTTTTATAACATCTTTTTCCCGCAACTTTTTTACTTATAACTTAGATTTCAATTCAGTAGAAAGACATTATTTTGAGGAAAACAACACTATCATTAACTCAATTTTTTCAGAAAGTGAAGATAGAACAAGATAATTCTAACGTCGCGTATTGTAGACCAGGTGCACTGCACAGGGAACAATAAATGGCAAAAGCCTTATACTCATTGAAAAACATTCCTAAAAATGTTACCACCTTTAAGTTTACAAATTGAGAACTAATTTCATGTAAAAATTTATTAGGTAAATATAGCACAACACTAGTCAAATACTTTTTGAAGATAAAAACTTAAAGTCATGAAAAATCTACCACTACAAAAAGCTACCACTGCGCCACGTCTACACTTAATGCTGGATATGCACTACAGTTGCACATGCACTTTATGTTGTTATCTAAAATGTAACACTGAAAATTATGCTGTTGGCATTATTTTTAAAATATTTAAACTGCTTTCATCATACATGATATAACAAAGTTCTTTAGCCACGTAGGCTTATGTTCAACCGTTTAAAAAAATTCTTGATAATAAATGCCGTATTAGCTAATAATCTGCCCTGCCGATTGTAGCTTGTAAATAGTGCAGTTTAAAAAGAATACTTTTAAAAAGAAATAAATGGTGGAATAAAAAAAATACCTAAGATAATAAAGCCTTAAAACCGTCGATTACTGATTAATATAAATTGCTCATTGTTTTAGAAAACTTAAGTGGTGCTTTTTTAGTGTATAATTAAAAGTAAATAAGCTTAAACCACTAACAACAAAAGCCTTATTCTGATCCAAAGTACATTTTATAAATTAACGATCACGCTTATCAACTCGAAAGTCTATTTAAAAACGTGTTGTTTTTTAAAAGAAACACGTTCCTAATTTATGTTTTCAAATTTATAACTGGAAATAAATTTTTTTTATGTTGTAAAAATATTAAAAAATGTAAAGTTTATTCAAATAAAGTAATTTATAACATTTTATATGAAAAAGAATGCCTAAGAAGGTTTTCAGTATTATAAATTAATAATGATATTATGTATTTATACATGTGTTTATATATATATATATATATATATATATATATATATATATATATATATATATATATATATATATATATATATATATATATATATATATATATATATATATATATATATATATATATATATATATATATATATATATATATATATATATATATATATATATATATATATATATATATATATATATATATATGTGTTTATATATTATATATATATATATATATATATATATATATGTGTTTATATATATATATATATATATATATATATATATATATATATATATATATATATATATATATATATATATATATATATATGTATATATATATATATATATATATATATATATATATATATATATATATATATATATATGTATATATATATATATATGTATATATATATATATATATATATATATATATATATATATATATATATATATATATATATATATATATATATATATATATATATATATATATATATATATGTATATATATATATATATATATATATATATATAAACTTATAATTTAAAGATAAAATAGTATAGTAATAATAAACAAAAAAGATATGTTTTTAATTAGTTTTAGTGCAATCGCATCTATTTTGTTTGTAGTCTTTATTGAATATATAAATTATATATATTTATATATATATATATATATATATATATATATATATATATATATATATATATATATATATATATACATATATACATATATATATATATATATATATATATATATATATATATATATATATATATATATATATATATATATAAACTTATAATTTAGAGATGAAAGAGTATGGCAATAATAAACAAAAAAGATATGTTTTGGATTAGTTTTAGTGCAATCGCTTCTATTTTGTTTGTAGTCTTTATTGATAATACTTACCAATGGATAAACAAAAAAATTATTGCTTCCATCATTTTAGGACTGATTTATGGCTATTTTAAGTTAAAGTCCGTTAACAAGAGAGCAAAAAAGTTTTTTGATCAAAAGAAAAACTATGCATTAGTTATTGCTCATCCAGATGATGAAGTGATGTTTTTCTCACCAACTATATTATCACTTTGTCAACATGTTAATTTATTTATTGTTTGTGTAACCAAGGGAAACTACTATGGCCTAGGAAAAATCAGAAAAGCTGAATTATATGAAAGTTGTTATTATTTAGGTATACCAAAAAATAGAGTTTTATTTTTGAAAGACAGAAAATTTTTTGACCACCCTACTTTAAAGTGGGATACAGTGTTACTATCTGAAAAACTTCAATTGTTACTTCAAACTTTTCAAATAAACAGTGTTTTGACGTTCGGACCAAATGGTGTTTCAGGACATATTAATCACATAGACTTGCACACTGCTGTATGTTCTTTAAATAGTTACCAAATTTTGTATTTAAAAGATGTTAACATTTTTAGAAAATACACAAGTTGTTTAGACATTGTTTACACTTATTTTTCTCAACCTTCAAGTAATCTATTGTTTATAAATGAAAACATGTCAAAAACATTTTGGTCATTAAGAAAGCACAAAAGTCAATTTGTTTGGTTCCGATTGCTGTATATTATTTTTTCAAGATATGTTTTAGTAAATGATTGGATTGTGTATAAAGAAATACAAAGTTAATATAAGCTAAGTTATTAATAAAAATGTATATACATATGTAAATATATATATATATATATATATATATATACATATATATATATATATATATATATATATATATATATATATATATATATATATATATATATATATATGATATATATATATATATATATATATATATATATATATATATATATATATATATATATATATATATATATATATATATATATATATATATATATATATATATATATATATACGTATATATCTGTGTGCATAAGATGTTTAATATTAAGTTCTGCCATTACACGCTCTTGGTAATGGTAGTACATTCTCTTTGTTAACTGTTTTTGTAGTATACTGAATGATTGCTTGTTTTTTATTTTATATAACAAAATAATCATTTCTTTTTAGAAAATGTGCTTTATACATATAACTCTTCTAAGTATTTTTAATATATATATATATATATATATATATATATATATATATATATATATATATATATATATATATATATATATATATATATATTCTGTAATCATTGTACTTAAGTATTATAGTTGTTCTTGTTATATTTATTTTAATATTTGATTTGATTGAGTTTTATTTAATTATCAAGAAATAAAATTTGCTTCAGGTTTAAGTTAGTTTATCTAAAAGTGAGTCATAAAGGGATTTGGACCTAAAGGCTTTGCAGTTTTAAATTGTCATTAACAGTTATGCCTGCGGTTGGTTTTTGAATGTTTTTGATGAAAAAATTTCAAATACTTTTTTACTTAATTAGTTAAAAATTGGTAACAGGAAACGCTTAACACATACATGTACACACACTCATACACAAATATAATAATAACATATATTTATAAATGAAATAAAATTTAAAAATAACTCAAGTCATCATAAAGAAGTTTATTTATTTTCTTAATATTTTACATTGTTTTATACATTTATAAAAGTATGTAAAAAAAAAATGACGAGAGCAATTAGAAGTTTAAAGTAATAAATTACGTTCAACGTTAAAATATTTAAAAACAAAAAACATAGTAAGATTCATTTTGGAGATTTAATAAAAACATTACTTCTCACAGTGTTATAAAACAGGTTCTAACCTTAAATTTCTGACCCGGAAAACCCTTTGATGGAATAGTAGCCCACACTCAGTGGCGTAACTAGGGGGAATCATAATCCCGCAAAGCGGGAGAAAAAATTTAAGGAGAGCCCCTTGACTTTTTTGGCGGGGGAGGGGGCAAAATTTATAGTTACGCCACTGCCCACACTATTCGGATCATTTAAATATAAGTATCAAAATTTGATTACAACGTCCTGGCAAGTTATTTATAATTTAGTTTTCATTCCAGTAAACACAAAACGTGTTTTAAACGTTTAATAAACGTATTAATACGTTTATTAAACGTTTTCTGGCATTGCGAGTTTTGTCTGGTCCGTGCAATATTTTTCCATGTGAAAGATCTCATCAACAGAAATGACCTTATTTAGAATAGGCAGCAGAAGCAATTCACCACAACTTTTAGATACATTGGCAAAATTACAAAAGGCCCAATCATCATTCAGAATACAGAAAGAAGTTGCAATGTTGCCTAGTTGACTTCAATAGTAAACAGTAGTTTAAAAAGAGATTTAAGAATGAATTGTTTTAAAATTTGTTCCGTGTAAGAGATACTGTTTTTGTGTATATATTTTATGTTTTTTACTTATATAGCTTCAAGAATATTTCCTTTTTCTTTCCTCGTTTACATTTATGTAAATTAGAGATTTTTACTACTGTAAAAACCAAAACAAGCTGTCCTTTGTGCAATCAATAAAATATTCCAATAAACACAAGACGTGTTTAATACGTTTAAAACACATTTTGTGTTTACTGGGATGAAAATTAATTTATAAATAACTTGCTAGGACGTTATAATCTGATTTAGATACTTATATCTAAGTGGGCTATCATTCTAGCAAAGAATTTTTCCGGGTCAGAAAGTATATTATTATAGTTATACATGGCCTACTATAATTACTGTAATTGTAGTAGGCCATGAGTTATACTAGCATGCTAATATAATTCTAATAATACGATATAATGTAAATGCTATTTTATTCATCAGAACAGACAAAATCTATTCTTTAGTCATTTATGTCGAGTAAATGCTGTTTCTTTAGTTTTAAAAGAAAAAAAAATGCTATTTTGTAGAATTGTGTCATGTTTTTTTTCTTAACTATTGAATTCCGAGGCGAGGTTATCTAAACACTGCGCACAGTGAGGCCGATTAGGCCAAAAACGGCAAAAGGTTTTAAACGGCAAAAAGTCACCCAAATAAAGTTTTATCAATTTTAGATTTGAAATATTAAAGTAAAATACTTTTTTGTAAAAAATCAACATAAAAAAACTCCTCATCAAATATCAAAATATATATTTTAATATAAAATATGTAAAAATAAAAAAATTATGAACGTTAGATTTTAAGTCTTCATCGTAAATTTAGCCTTATTTGTAATCAATTTTAAAATTCTTAACAGGCCCGTAGAGCAGTGGAACAGAGTGTGCCAAAATAACAAAAAAATCGATGTTGGCACTACCATCACACAATCATAGCACGGTGGAAATTTGTTTAAATGGTGAAGACATGTTTATTAGAGGAAATATCTGGTTAAAAAAACATTAAATAATAATTTAAGCGTTATTTTATGCGGTTTTGACATGTGTTTATTTAATTATCAAAAAAAAATTTTTGCTTCAGGCTTAAGTTAGTTTATCCAAACTTGACATGTGTTTCAAAACGCTATTTCGCATTTTTTATTTATCAACTGTTGTTTTAAATTAACTTTATTGACTTTCATTTCAAAATATATTATTTTAGTTAACAATTATTTTTTCGCTTAGACTTTTAAAAACAATTTTACGCAAGTGTAATCATTAGTTTTTATGCATCGAAAACAAACAGTTTTCGATATTTTTTTGCTACTAACCTTTACTATTAGGTATTAGATAACCATCCTCCAATATTATCCAAACATTTAGTTGTGTAAATCTCATGCTAAATCTATGTAAATAGCCTAACATTACAAATATTTTGCTACTTTTGCAATAAAAAAAGCTATTACAAAACATTGGTTTTCGGTTAATGAACAGTTAATGAGAAATACTGAAAGGTGTCTCAAAAATATATCATAAATTGAATTTCGATATGCGGAATACTGCATTTGGCATCATTTTGTCTATAAATACCAAAAAAAAAAATTAGTCTCTAACTAAAACGAAAGGTTATTTAGGTGACTTTTACTTAATAAGTAAAGTTTGACTTAAAAATGACTTTATTCATATTATTCCGATTACAGTTGTTACCTAAACAAACAAAAGTATTGGTGCTTGTTAAACAAACAAATTTAAACAAAAAAGTTTCCGGATATCTCCAGGATATCATAAGAAAGCAACTTGTTTAACATGTTGGTCTTAACTTCGGTTTTGAGATCCTTATCAGCAAGAGCAAAAATGACTTGTTGCGGAGACAGATACTTAGTATGACGCATAAGACTTTGGTAAAGAACATTTCCTATTGCTGCAAGTTCTTTAAACTTGTCTACTGTTTGTAGCTGAAAAGCAATATTGGACGCCATTAAATCATTTGAAGGTGCTTGAGAAGCATTAGGGCTTTTTAGAAAGAAGAGTCCATGAAAAAATACATTGTAGTTGGTTGCAGCGTTCAGATGGTTTATTGTATTTCTTCCAACTGTCTCGGAATCAGCAGGGTGGTACATTTAAGTCATCTGAATAACCAGTAAGTGTATACAGTAAGCCATAAATCTTGCTTCGTGATGAGCTCCAGGCTGTTTAAATAAAAAGTTCGATTATTCAGCTCCTAGAAAAAATTCCAGAAGCTCACAAATATACTTGTAATCACATCTATGGAAAGTATTTTTATGAAAAGCTGTTAAACAGTAATGAGCCGGGCTCAAAAGCATCTTGAGACAGGTCAAACTTTACAATTCTCTCAAGTTTGTTTACATCTTCGTAAATCTGTAGCCATAGTTTTTGGAGAATTACATAAAGTTTCTTGCTGGGACCACTTTTTTGACCAAATATTTCTTTCATCACATGAGTCACGTGCCTTTCATAAATGTCTGTACATTATCTAAAGAACTGGGCATAGGTAATAATAATGCTTACGGCACCTTTATTTTTACCAGTGTTGCAGGATGTTATGTCAGAACACAATCCGATAATCTGATCCAACATTTCATAGCATTCAAGCATTGTTTGAATTGAAATGACTTGATCACTTCCCTTGGAACTTTCGATTTTTAAGATGCCAAGAAGAAAGTCTAGTGGACCAGACTTTGATGAAGATGCGTCAATAGCTATTCTATCCCCATATTTAGATGTTCCTTTTTCCCAATCGTAATTCTTCAAAATCTTGGTATCAAAATGTACCACAATTTTTAAACCTCTTTTTTATCTATGTTTTCCTCTCTAATTATCTGTGCCTCAGACTCCACAACATTATGAGTTTTCCTATTTAGAGTTGATCTTGATATTGACATATTATCAATATTAACTCCACCAGCCTCGGAAAGAGAAGACAAAAGACACATACCCGGTCTGACTCAAATCCCAAATCTGTTCATAATTGGAATCCAATTTGTAAGAATATCTTCCATACTTAACGGAAGGCAAACTTTAATGTCACTCTTAAACCTTTTCTGTTTTTTCTGGACTTTAGCTGGAGATAAATATAGTTCGTCGCACTCAGTTTGATTGTCACTATCTGTGCTTGAAAAGTCATACTCCAAATAGCTGCACTCCTTTTTCTTATTTTTATTTTAATGCCTTAGGATTTTCTCAGACATCTTAATTATTATTTCTTGTGCCCTGTGAGCATTTTTACAAAATTTATTGTCCATGTTCCCGAATTTGACCATATCCCCTCTCAGACAAAGCCTCAAAAATTTTGTCTTCTTTTATAGCATCATCATCCCTATTTTTATCACTTTTTATTAAATCAAATAT